GAAGGATAGACTAGATACCATTAAAACAGAGCTATGGTTTTTGAGTACATTCAGAATCGAAAGAAGCGTCAAGCCCTGCAAAGAAACATCAAAACCTTGATAGAAAAACTAGGACTCGTCCGTCTTTACTATCTCATCTGGTGTAAAACAGTCATCCCTCCTGAGTTTGACTCCGTCACATCTGATGTGCTAGAGACGATTCGGTTTTCCAGGCCTAATATTAGAGCTTATTATTCATGTCTAGAAATACCAATTTCCTGTCCGCTGACCTATCAGCGCGTGGCAGAATTCATAGACGACGTTGTACAGAAGCTTAAGGATCTGCTGATTGTCCGTCTTAGTAAGCTGTCTGATGATTCAGTGAGCATATATTTTCAAGGATAAAACCTTTTGAGCCACGGGTCCGTGAAATCTACATTGACGAGCTGGAAATTTTGAGGTTATCGGACACTCCTCACATGTCCTCAATTGAAGATGCAGTTCGATTCTTGATACTCTTTCTAAATTTTTCCCTTGACTACGGTTCTAACAGAGACCCTTTCCTAGCAGCTCAACATGTTGAGAGCTATTCTCATTGAGTTGCCACTGATTAGCAACTTTCTCGATGATATGAGGATCACTTTCTTCAAGAAAATAGAGACTGTGGTCGTTGATGCTGCATTTGTCGTTTACTCATTGTATGACAGAAGCAAGGACAAGGAAGATCAGAACCAAGAACTACTTGTTTTAGCTGAAATCAGGCCAGGATTGTCTCTCATTTCAATTTCCGAGGAGAGACTTGCGACTTTCAATTCTGAGAGGTGCTATGGATGCTGTTCTCAGTGAAGAAGGTGAGGATGATTTAGCTGATAGACTACGGAAAACTTTATTGGCAAGGAGATATCTTTTAATCATTGACGATTTGTGGGAAGTAAATGCATGGGATGATTTAAGGTTATGCTTTCCTGATGCTAGAAATGGTAGTAGAATCATTCTGACCACCAGACTTCAGAAAGTTGCTGATTATGCTAAACATGTTATTCTTCCCCATAAACTACGTCGATTTGATAATGAAGAAAGTTGGGTGTTATTACAGATAAAGGTATTTGGGAAAAGAATATGTCCTATAGAGCTAAGGCAAGTTGGTCAAGAAATAGTAATGAAATGTAATGGGCTACCATTTTCCCTTGTTTTAGTGGCTGGTATTCTTAGCAAGAAAGAGATGAAATTGAGGCAGCCTAGTGATTGGAGTTGTTGAAAGACAAGATATTACTATCTTGTATCCTTATGATATTGTTATCTTCTATCATCCGAGGAAGGCAAATATGATAGCTGATGCCTTAGAGTAGAAAGGCGAAAAGTATAGGAAAAACAATGTTGGAAAGAAATGGAAGAAAGTTTAGTTGCACACATCCGTAGTGGCGCAAAGGATATAGTACAACTAAGCTATAGTAACTTACCTTGTAAGCTTAAACCATGCTTTTTATACTTTGGAGCATTTCTAGAGGACAGGGAGATTTTATAGTCTCGAAGATAACGACGTTACGGATAGCCGAGAGGTTTATTAATCATTTAAGGTACTTTGTTGTTCAAACTGGTGTGGATTCTGTCCCATCTTCAATAAATAATCTCTGGAATCTTCAAACATTTCTAGTGAGAGGAATCGGAGGACGAGTATTACTGCCTTACTTTTTGGAAGCTGGTAAAGTCGAGACATGTACGCATTAGTAACATGGCTATCTTTAATTTGCAAGGAGCACAGGAATTCCTTGGTGGAAGCCCTTCAAAATTGTAAATTTTGGCAACATTTTCATCGGTGTATTTGTCTTGTGCCGAAGATATAGAGAGGATAGTAAGCAAAACGCCCAATCTTCAAAAGTTAATTTGTATATTTGCCGATTCATGGGGTTGGAGAAAGAATGAATATCAGTTCCCTGTATTGGACTCATTATCTCAACTTGGAATAAATTTCATAGGTGGTCATTCAACTTTGTTTTTATTATCAAAAAGTCATTTTTTCTTTCTACTGTCACATAAAAGTCATTTAATTTTGTGTGTCTTACTCAAAAGTCACTTTTCTTTTATTTGTTACACAAAAATCATTTTATTATGCTCTAGTTATCACAATAGTCACTTTGACCAGATTTTATAAACCTTTCACCTGAAAAGTCTGTTATGCTCTTGAAATTATAAATCCTCTCATTTATACAACACCTTCTATATTATGTGTTATATAATTTATTTTACCCAGGTATTATATAATAATTAAAATAACTTAATATTATCCTATTTATTATTTTATAATATATCCGTACATTTATTTTTATCTTTATATTAATTTTCAAGATATATAAGTAGCATTATTAAATTTGTCGGTAACATTACCGTGAACAAATCTAGATCTCAAGTCCACGTTCTTAACTATGCTTAATGAACTATTTTTAATGAAAATTATAAAATCAAAGCTCACTGATTTATCAACCAAGTCATACCCATTAATTTAATAAATAAAATACTTACATTTTGCACAATAACACATCGGATTAATATTTTCAAATAAATAATATTAACAAAAAAAACTTTAAAAAGCTTAATATTAAACACAAATGTCTTTGAAACTTTTTCTAAGATTCTTATTAACTATAAAAATACTATCATTTGTTCAACAAAACTATTTTCATTATTTCAAATAAATATTAAAAACTAAATATTTTTTATTGTTTTAATATATAAAATATGTTCATGTTTGATTATGATTAAACAAATTGAGTGTCATGGAAAAATTAAATATATGGATATATTATAAAAATAATATAAAGTTATTTAATTATAAGTAAAATATCTAGGTAAAAATACATTATATAGTATATAATATAGAAGGTGTTACATAAATGAGAGGATTTATAAAGCATAATAGACTTTTCAAGTAAAAATATTATAAAATCTGACCATTGTGTAAATAGAGCAAAGTAAGATGATTTTTGTGTAACAAAAGAAAGAAAAATGACTTTTGAGTAATGAACATAACGATGAATGCTTTTTATAGCTTGTTTGGATGGTTGTTACGCATCGTTTCATAATGTATCGTATCGTACTGTATTGTATTGTATTGTATTGTATCGTTTGATAAATACAATGATTGGATAGATTGTGTCGTTTGCCATCGTTTCATGATATCACGCACCAGCAATATGAAGAATAAACTTGCAATATTATAAAGAAAAATTATGATACAAAGTAAAATTACTATATAAAAAAGTAGGATACATGATAAAATAAAATAATTTAATAATAACAAAGGGTGAGATCGAGAGAAAAGACAAGGTAACGACGCGACCAACCAAATCGGTCGTTACATAAAGTGGCACATTTCATCGTTATGTAACGATGGATTTAACGATACGATACAATAAAATTTAAGTAACAATCAAAACAAACATTGTATTTAAAGTAACAATATGATACGATACAATGAGTAACAACCATCCAAACAAGGTGTTATGTAACAAAAAGAAGAAAAATAACTTTTACAAAATAACTTTTACGTAATAAACCCAAAGTTGAATGATCACCCATGAAAATTACTCCTAACCTGAAACACTAAAGGTGGTCTTCATCAATATTCCAACTATAGGTCCGTCAAGATTAAACTTTCCAATGAATTTCAAGAAATTAACATTATGTAAATTTCCTTTGCCAGTAGATGGAATTTCAACCATTGCTTACCTTCTCACCCTTGAGGTACTTAAACTGCAGCAAGTTGACTTTGATTTGGATGAATGGGAAGTGAGAGATTGAGTTCCCTCAGCTCAAATTCTTAAAACTTGGAAATCTCGAACTCTCGAAATGGGGAGTGTCTGATGAAGCCTTTTCTTGCCTTGAGCAATTGGTTTTGGCTAGATGTTTATATCTCAAAGAAATCCTTTATTGTTTCGAGGACTCGGGTAATATGCAAATACATTGAGGTGAAGTCATGCAGTGAATCTATTACCGACTCGGCCAGGGAAATCAGAGATACACGACTTGATAATGGACACAGATGTGATTTCAAAGTCTTCACTTAGCATTGGAGTAATGAGGCTGCAAGACTGCAGCCTTCTCTTCATTTCCAGTCAAACTAATGGTATAATCTTAAGCAAATGTGCAGTTGTTGCTGCTTTCTTGCTACTTCGTTTCTGCACTTTAGGTTGTACTTCAATTTGTGGCCTGTTGCACTAGAAGTCTTGCAACTTTTTCTTTTTTCATTTATAAGTAATGTCCTTACTTTCTTTTGATGTATGGTTTGGTGGAACATTGTTGATACAAATTGACGATGTTTGATGGCACTTTTTTTTACAATTTGTGATGTTCCTTTTTCTTGTTATGTTTAGGTTGTTTGGACAATGTCATTATTCCGTAGCTCATTGTATTTTTATTCTATAATCTCGATTATATGAATGTTGTTATACTTGTATCAGTAGTTCTTAAGTAAAAAAAAAAAAAAATCAGTTTTGTTTCCCCTAAATTGTCTATGATCCAATCTTGTTTGTTCGCATATGGGTTCTTGCCTTCATATATTATCACTTGCCGGATGGAATTTATGCCCCTTTCTCCAGTGGAGAAATTGTTAAAGATAGTCAAGAAACAATGCTTTCTTATTTCAACACTTTGACACTTTTGTGTCTTTTCTTGCTTTAAATCATTGATATATATATATATACTAATTATGGAATTATCCAAGCTCTCATTCGATTTGTCCACCCCAATTGCTAAAAATGCTGGATTTATGACATTATTAGTAGAGTTTGACTTCACAATTTTACAAATATCAAGATAAGGAAAAAAAAAAGTTATGAAAAAAGATTAGAGCTAACACGGGTTACATGTTTTGCCGAAGAACAAGAACGAAGACAAAAAGCGCCACACGTAGAGTCTCTCTAACTGTCTCCACCATAATTGACCTCGTAAAAATTTTCAAGTGAATTGCTAGATTGTAGTCGTAGCCGACACTCATTCTTGTTCTGGTTTTTTCCAGTTCTAAATTCATGAAATTGTTAATGCATATTATCAGCTGATTTGAAGATAATTTATATCAAGAAGTTTGCTGGTGAGAGGGAGTCCATGTAGAAGTTTGTGGTATCGTGCAGAAGAAAGTTTGTACTCAGAATACCTATACAACCCTCCATGTCTTTGAAAAACTCTAGCTCTTTAGAGTCGTAACAGAAAATAGGAGATTCAGGTGAGAGACTTTGAACATATTAAGAACAGAAAGTAGCTGCCGAAACCTGAGGATAATTCACTCTTCTTGCAAAAGCACATCATGCCTTTATTCGTATGACAAATGAACCTGTAACATCAGTAAGCACATCAGTAAGAGCAAATCCTACATGCAACAGGAACATGTGGGAAAAAAACGCGTTTTCAGCAAATTTGACTTTAAAAAATGGTAAAGATGATGAAGATTTTCTTAGTCATTTGTACTTTTATGTAAAGATAATATGCCCTTTTCAGAGATAGTGGGATGGATTTTGTGAAATAACGTAATAACTGATATTCAATGGAAACAAAGGGTGCATATACTAGTTTAAGATTATGTACAAACTAATTCAAACAAGATATATTTTGCATGCCCACACAAGTCGATGTGTCAGTTACCCGCTGAAAACTTTCTAATCATTTTTCGACACAGAGAGTAGCGAACAAACTTAAATCTACCTTGTAGTTTATCTATCACCATCCAGTCTTCAATTAAGGCTTTTTCCCAAAAGGTCAGGATGATGATGTGAAATGGCCTCTAGATATCTCTATCCAATTAATAACAAAAGTATGACCTTTAAAAGTCTCTTGAACTTGGTACTCGTGGTGCCCAATATGTGTGCTTGTAGGCAAAAGTAAACAATTACAAAATCACCAATCAGATAGGGGATTTAGTGCCCCACCGACTTTTTCAAATGAACACGGAAATTGTACAAATGGAGCTCTTGGCTTCCTCTTCATTTTAGAGAATTAGCAAGATAAAACCCAAAATGAGAAGACTTACAGGCAGGAAGATTAGATATATCTGCAGAAACTGCACAAGGAATTCCAAGGTTTGAAAGTGCTCCCCTTATGATTCCACATGGAAAATAGAGATGCATTCCTATGGCTTGTGCTGCTTTGTTTTCAGCCATGGCTGAAGGGTCTTGAATAGAACCAAGAGTTTCAATAGAAGGATCAACTGACATCCGCGACAGCCAACGAAAACGATTGTCTTGCAACACAAAGGTTCCCTAACAGGAGCAGAAGTTAGAGATCACTATTGCTTAAGCAGCAATGAAATAAACTCTCTTAACTTATTCTGTGATTGATGTGGAAACTTAAACTTACTCTGTGATTTGTCTTCAGGTTGTCTATTTGCTTCTTGAAGACCTCAGACCAGAAGTCCTTGCATATAAATTTGATTGCCTCTAAATGATCGGTGAACCGGGGCCTATCCATAGTATACCTGCCAAAAATAATTATATCAAGGTCAGCAGAAAGTGAAACATGAAAGCTAGGACATGATCCGACTTATAATTATTTTTATAAAAGATCCAACTTGGTATCAGTGTATAATCATACAGAGATCAAGATAGGAGTGATAGATATTCTTAACTAAAAGTCACATTCCAGAAGAAAATTGTTAAGTACACAATCCGGAGACTACATTACACTTCAAACTAGAACTCACTGCAAGAACGGACTCAGAGGTTGCAACTTGGAGGCAAGCCAAAGTCTGTAGATCCAATGAAAGCAAAAGAAATGACAAACATGAAAGATGGAGCCTAGAATTTCAGCCTACATCTAAGCAAGTAAGCATATAGAAAGAACAGAACTTATTAATGTAAAAACTGCTCTAGTGGAAATCTTTTTGTCTTTTCTTTGTGCACGAAAGGATCTCATTGTCTAGGAACAAGTTCCTTTCTCATTTTTCAGAAAAAGAAAGAAAAATTTAGCTGACCACCTGTACAAAATCACAAAGTATAAAATGAAAAAACAAGTGCAATGAGGGGGAAGTCAAATATCCATTATAGTAGTATCTATCAGAACCCTAGTAATGTCTCCAAATTTCATAATTAATCGAAATTGAGAGTGATGTATGAAAGATCAAGTCTCCTTATTGCAGTATTTGCTTGAAATTTGTGAATGGCGGATTGATTATTTGTAGATTGATGGGTATCTTTATAATTGATAAGGTACTAATAGGTGCAATAGTTTGTCAGGAATCAAAAACGTGAACTCTAATATTAAGATTGACGTAGCACCGGAAAAGAAATGCATAGAGAAAGATAGGAGAATGACACCGAAGAATAAGAGAGAACGAGAGAGGGATCAATCCATTAAATATTATCCAACAAATCAAGTGTGCCAAATTAATGCTTATAGGACCGGGAGCGCTGCACAAGCTAAATGCCTAAAGCTATGAAAACTTTGTCTCTAATTAAGAGATAAGTTAAGAGCAAGGGCCAATGTAAAAGATAGAATCTAATCAAGGGAATGATAAAGACATACAGAATCTAAAAAAGATACAAAAATAATCTAAAGATAAAAGATAAACACAGAAAGCGAGAAGAAAACTTCAACCAAATTCATTTTCTACTACTATAAGCTCTTCCAAATCTCTTAAGGGGTTGCATCACAAATTAATGCTACAAATTAATGATTGGTAGCAAGGTGATAGCGATTAAATAAGAAGCAAAAATAGAAAAATAAAAACAAGAAGCAAGAAGGTGATTTAAACGGTCTAGAATATGGAATAAATCATCAAGAAATCTAGAAAAGGAAAATTATGACAATCCGGCATAAGAAAGTGAATTTGTTCGAGGTGACAGAATACTTGGGAATACCTTTAGGGGCTAGGTACAAGGCAAAGCAGGTGTGGCAAAAGATTGAAGAGAGATGTGAAAAAAGGCTTGCTATGTGGAAAAGACAATACTTATCTCTAGGGGGCAGGATGGTGCTCATCAATAGTGTTCTTGATTCTCTCCCTACATATCTATTGTCCTTATTTCTAATGCCAATTAGTGTAAAGAAAATCCTGGACAGGATCAGGAGGATTTTTGTGGGGAGGTAATAGAGAAAAGCAAGCCTTACATCTGGTGAAGTGGGACACGGTGATGTTGTATAAAAAAAAGAGGTGGACTTGGCAGCAGAAATTAGTAGGCACACAACAATAGTTTACTAATGAAGTGGTTTTGGAGGTATGGAAAAGAAGATGGGAGCTTATGCAGAGGGCTATATTTGATAAATAAGGGGAACAAGACATCTGATTCACATGTCCTGTTAATTTTTCCCATGGTATAGGTCTATGGAAGCACATATACACCTTATGGCCAACCTTTGTTGTCAGCACAGAGTTAAAGGTTGGTATTGGCAGACACACAAGGTTTTGGCAAGATATTTGGATAGGACATGCCCTCTAATAACTCAATATCCTGATCTTCATTGGATCGTTTTGAATTCTAATATTTCAGTTTCTAATTGCTGGGAAGGGGAGCCTTGGCGTAACTGGTAAAGTTGCCGCAATGTGACCATGAGGTCACGGATTCGAGCTGTGGAAACAGCCTCTTGCAGAAATAAGGTTGCGTACAATATAACTTGCAGTCCGACCCCGGACCCCGCGCATAGCGGGAGCTTAGTGCACCGGGCTGCCCTTTTTTTAATTGCTAGAATGTGAACGATTGGTGCTTAGCTTTTCATAGAAATTGCTTTGATTGGGAAGTTCCTAGATTGGCTTTACTGTTGAATGATTTAGACAAGATGGCTCTAAATGTAGAAGCTCCAAACACTATTGTATGGCAGACAAATGGACAATACTTTGTTGATTCATGCTATAGGGAACTCAACAAGGAAGGAGGCAGCAATGAAAGTTGGTCTTGGAAGGAGCTATGGACGATGAAAGCACCCTATAAAATCAAATTGTTTTTTTGTGGCTAGTGGCACATGACGCATGTCTCACTCAAGGCAGCCTTCAGAAAAGTGGTTTTTGAATATGTAGCAGGTGCTAATTATGCAACAGTGCAGAGGAAAGCAGCAGTCATCTTTTCTTGCAATGCACTGTGACAATACAGATTTGGTCTTTATCTTTTAACAATCTCCGGTGTCCTATATGTAATACCTTATACAGTGAAAGACCGGTTAATCAGCTGGGGTATTAGAATTTAGATACTTGAAAATGTCATAACTCTTGCAAACTATCTCAAAGTAATTTGAAGAATTTTATTCCCAAAAAGCACATCCAAAAGTAGTACTAGTAAATACACATGATGTAATCTATAGGGAGATTATTGTTCACTTGAATCTTCAGTAAATTCACAAAAATAATTTAGTAATAGGAAATTGGTCACCTCTCGGAAAGTTGGTGGCCGACCTGAAAACCGATGGCTTCGATGCGGCGGGCTGCGAGCTCAGGTTTGTCGGCATAGAAGCCATTGCAGTAGGAAGACACGATCTCTGTCAGTAAACTCTCCACACAGCTCTCTGATACTTCTCGAACCATTTCTATATCCTCTTCACAAAAACTGCAAATGATTTTCCAAAGGTTAAAAAGTACTCCTTATAGAGTGCTGATTTTCAATGTGAAGTCCCAATATAACTATTTTTAACACTAAACCCAGTTGAATTTCCGTCTTACACGTTCAGTTGCAGCCTTTTTGAGGCCATCACTTCTCTGACCAACTGGTCACTTCATTCCACCCATTTTACCATTTGCTTATAACCAAACAAAATCAAACTACTAATTTTATATATTTATATTAAAATTGACTTCTCATGTATTAGAGAAACAAATAAATCTTTGAATTTTCATGTATCAGTATCAGATAGATCAAATCGAAATTAACAGATCTAAACCAAATCATCAAGGATGAGCGGATAGACATCACACAGAGGAATACTAATAGTAAAGCAATAAGAAAACGGGAAAAAATCGATGAAGAAATAAGAAAGAGAAGAAGATCGTACCTTGAAAAACTTGGTCGGAATCAAACGAGAGCGAGAGCGAGAGCGAGCTTCTTAGAGAAGGAAAGCAGGAGAAAATATAAACAGAGAGAGGATAATGACAATTAGTGCTGTCAAAATGGTTAAAATTTGGGGATTTTTATTGTTTGTTTTTGTAGAAGAATTTAGGGTTGCGCATCGGTCGAATAAAAATACCGTTCGCTTTATCCCTCTTCGATTTTGTAATATTAATAATCAAATCAAACCAATACAAGTTGGTGTGATTTTTTTAAAGTTCGGTTAAATTATTTCGGGATTATATTTTCGGGTTCAAACGGTTGTAGACTTCCTCCACTTGACTAAATATGCGAAAGTCATCTGCGACATTAATGAAGATGAACTTCTTGTTGTTCAAGGAATTAAAGCAACATTGGATTTCTGCAGATTCAAGTTCACTCTTTTTCTATTCCTCTTGCTTAATATATAAATATTTGATACAATTGGCAGTGAGAAATGACGAAGAAAACTCGAAAAGATTAACAAATGTCTGCGCCCTTTGGAAATCAAGACGAGACAAATCGACCTTAGAGTGCGCCAAACATTATTCTAGTTTTATTTCCTTTGCTCTTGTTTTTTCCATAATCTCACGTACAGTATTAATAAATTGATAAATGGGTCTAAACATGGTTTCATAGTAGCTGTGCTTTGTTTTAGAATAGGATTTTTGGTTTTGCTATTTTCTTTTTAGAATAGTTGGTAGGGGACTAGGGGTTTATGTTGGTTTTTGTGAATACAAATGAAACAATGAATGAAGACCACTGTCTATTTTCTTATCTTCTACTTGTTGGATTCGATTTTTTTGTAGTGTGATTGCATTCTATATCCATGGAAACTACATCTCATTCATATATTACTGAGTACTGACTGGTTTAAGCTCTAAAACTTAGAAGTTGCATTCTGTTCATTAGTATGGAAGTTTAAAATGCATTACTCCCACACTTTATATGATGCACTGTCATTTTTTAGTTTGTCCCAAGAAGCTTTTGATACAAAAGAAGGAAAAGACAACAGTGACAACAGTGACAACAGTGAACGTGCAAAGTGACTGTAATTCGTTTTTCGGTTTAACCGAAAACCGAAATACAAAAACCGTAAACCGCACCGAAAAATCGAAAATTAATAATTTTAAAACCGTGCACCGATCGAAAATTAATTAAACCGAAATCGAAAAATCGAAATTCATGGTTCACCCGATTATTTCGGTTCGGTCGGTATTATGCCCACCCCTAGAAGAATTAACCCATCTATCCAACTATTTAAACTGAAAATAATTGTGTATAATTTACGTATTATATATAATTTATATATATAGCTAGAAGAAAAAAATAATGAATATGACTGGCTATTTATATAAGATCATTTTTAGCGCGTATAAATTATATATATATTATACACATTGGTAAATTTTAATTTAAATGAGTAAGTGAATAACTTTTTAAGTTAATTATTCTAATAATATTTAAAAGTATTCTGTACGATCCAATCCATTTTAAATGGGTTTGATACTTGATTTTTTTTAAAATGAACCAAATATGAATCAACCAATATTATCTGATTTTAAAAATGAATAACTGGCGGAAATGGATAAAAAGTTGGCTTATCTGTAAAGAGAATGGATACTTGTATCAGTTTTCCGATGCTCTTCCCCTATTCCCGGATACGTATTCAAGATTTTAATACTATGGGTACACTATTATCTTTAAGATAGATATTTAGTTCCTATTTGACTCCATTATATAAAATTTTATGATGGTGGCAAGTTGACGAGCAAACTATATTAATACTAAATTCGCAAAAAAAAAATATCGTTCACCTTACAATTGTCCTGGACAAGATTTTATTGAAAACAGTCAATAATAACATCATTACTTACAATTTTAAATATCTCACGCTTTATATACCAAATTAAACAATTAATCAAAAAAGTTTTTAAAGCGGCGCTTAATATTGAGTAGGGGTTTTCCTGCTTTGAATCAACTGAGAGCCTCAAAACCGAGAGAGACGAGTCATGAGTACTTTGCTTTTAGAGATTTCAAAGTGTTTGTACTCAAAGAATGATTAGGAGAAGAAAATAAAAAAGGCGTAGGGTGTGAGAAGTTGAGAATTTATTTATTGTAATTAATTATAAAAGAAATTAATCAAAAAGAATTGTATGGAGATCGAACCCTAACCTTGGGGACAAAAAAGAAATAAGAAGAGCACTTAGTCACTAATACACCAAACTAATCATTTGAGCATGGGTGACCACAAATATATTTAACCGCAAAATTTAAAAAAATTAATATTTTATACATAACCTAGGGAGAGGAGCATGGGTGCATGTAGCCCACCACTCTCCCCGTAAATCCGTCTCTGCCTGTTCCCCAACAATCTACGATCATGAGGAAAGAACCAAAAAGGGTTAGCAAGAAAAAGACAATTCTTCCATCCGATTAGTCATTATTTTGTTATAGACATTTCATTATCTAAATTTATAAGAAATTATTTCTGAAAATTGTAAGTGGTAATTTTTTTGAGAGGAAAAGCTGATACTTTAGAGGCAAATGGAATTTATTTCAAAAGGCAATTCTTTAACACAACAACATATACAATGTATATTGTTTACTAATAATATTTAGTAGTAAGTAATATATGCAACCCATTTAATTTGGCATCATTTTTCATTTTGGCACTTTATCTCTGCCTTATTCTATTTTGGCTCTCAAATTCTATTTCTTATGTTCCACTTTTAATACAAAAGTTAAAACCAGTGCAAAAAGTATAGCGCGCGTGTATACACAAATTTGAGGTTAATAAATATCCAATTAGATATTACCACTTGATTTTTTCATCCATATCAAACGGATCAATACTAAAATACCTGAACTCGATCGTGTTTTTTCATCCACTTTTACCCCATTCATTCTTTAAGTTCTAAAGCTTTAATCTGCCGATTTCATACCTGGCCCGTTTAGATGAAATAAACCCACAAAAAATACGGTTGGATTCAGGTATTTTAGTATTGACCTGTTTGACATGGATGCAAAAATCAAGTGGCAACACTTAATTGGATATTTATTACACCTCAGATTTGTGTACACACACGCGCTATATTTTTTGCACTGGTTTCAGCTTTTGTGTTAAAGTGGAACATAAGAAATAGAGTTTGAGGTCCAAAATGAAACATATAAAATAGAGTTGGAGTTCTCAAAAGCTTAAGGATTGGTGATAAACAAGAATAAGAGTTCAATCTTTTTTGGAGGGATACCACAAGATGCCCAGGAAGCTATTTTGGAATTTCGGGGAATCCAAAAAAGTGAACTACCAGTTAGATACCTGGGAGTTCCCTTAAGTTCCAAGAGAATATCAGTAGCTCAATGACAGCCCTTAATTGACAAAATAGATGGCAGAATCACCTCATGGATAGCTAAATTCCTATCTTATGATGAAAGGATTCAATTGATTAAAAGTGTTATGTTCTCTATTTAAACTTATTGGGCACAAATCTTTGTGCTCCCAAAGAAGATCACTAATCTAATTGAGGCAATATGCAGAAGCTTTTTGTGGACAGGGGAGGGCAATATCTCTAAGAAAGCATTGCTGGCATGGGAAAAAGTATGTATGCCTAAATCAGCAGGGGGATTCAATATTATGAGCATCATACTGTGGAACAAAGCAGCTATATGTAACAATATTGGGACCTATGCAAGGAGAAGAACAAATTCTGGATTCAATGGATGCACAGTTACTACATCACATGCAGGAACATATGGGAAGTCCAACTGAAGCAAACAGTATGGATTATGAGCAAGATTACGAAAGCAAAGAAGACATTTGAGGAAGCAGGCTTTAATCATGAAGACATCAGGAAGATGAACAACTGTTCAATTAAGCAAATATATCACAAGATGAGAGGAAGCTTCAGTAAAGTGAGTTGGAGAAGAGTTGTATGCAGCAATGTTGGCTGCCCTAGGTGGACATTTATACTAACAATGACAGCACATGGCAAGATGTATACTAAAGATAGTCTAAGAAAATGGGAAATACAAATTGATCAGGAGTGTGTACTGTGCAGATAAACAAGTGAAACTATTCAACACTTATTCTTTGAGTGCTCATATGCAGCTGAATTGTGGGGTAATCTGCTAGCTTGGAAAGGGATAAGAAGACCAGTATATAGATGGCTGAGGAACTAGCATGGGCTCAAAAATATCTAAAGATGAAAACTGCAAGAACTGAACTATATAAGATGACACTAGCAACATGTGTATATTATGTGTGGCAAGAAAGAAATACCCGAATCTTTCAAGTTAAAGTGAGACGATGGGAGATACTTGGCAAGATGATTATACAGGAAATACACTGTCGAAGCAATAAGCATGTGGAAAAAGCATTAAGTAGACTGGATTGGTACCCTATGTAATAGACAAAAAAGTATAACAATAGAAAGGTGGTAGAGGGAGGGGGGAGAAGTACAGAAAGCATATGATATATGTAAGGGTTTTTTGTTTTACTTGTAAATATTTCCCTGGTAAATGAAAGTTTTAATTACCAACAAAAAAAAATAGAGTTGGAGGGCCAAAATGGAACAAGATAGAGATAGAGTTGTAGGCATATAAATTTTATTAGAATTAAATCCGTAAAATATTTTGGACTATATTTTAAATTCAAGATATATTGGTCTAAATAAATATTATGGTCTAATATATAAATGAATTAATTATATAATTCCAATATATATGGATTAAATAAATAAGTCTTAATCCATTGGGCTAGCTCATTTAATTGGGCTAAAGTAATGAGCCCACTTCATTATGCCCGAGATGATATCTTCTTAGAGGCCCAGTTTGGTGCCACATGTAAAATGACGTGGCGCGCCAAGTCAAATGAAAGAGCCAATAGGATCATGCCACGTATCAAAATGACAAGGCATACCAAGTCACACTAAAAGGCCAATGAAATTGTGCCACGTATGCAAGTGACATGTTCTGGCCAATCAAATGTGGCCATGTCACACTTCAATTTGATTGGTCAGAAAGAGTTTGTTCTTATCATAACTCTGCCTTTCCACAACTATAAATAGGGGTCTTCATAACTCAGAAAAAGGACTAGAAGTTATAACAAAAAGCAAGAGAGAGCTCGTGGATCAAACGCCGCAAATTTCTCTACAAGTTTCAAGCTTCAAGCAATCAAATTCAAGCTCAAGAACGAAGAGAAAATCAAGTTCAAGCTCAAGAACAAAGAACAAATCAAAGTCAAGTTCAAGTTCAAGCACAAGAACAAAGAACAAATCAAAGTCAAGTTCAAGCAATCAAGCTCAAGCTCAAGAACAAGATCATCGTTTGTGGCAGCAAACATTGATTCAAGATCAAGCTCAAAGGCACTTGAATTTATTTACTATTGAAAAGAA